TTGGCTTCATGCACCACTGAGCAACTTTGCCTCCAACGCCAACCAGTATTCTTTATATATTAAATTACATGTTACTTGTTAGACACTATTATCCAAAGCGATTTACATACTCAATAGTGTGGGCAATCCCCACAGGAGCAATTTGGGGTGAAGTGTCTTGCCCATGGACACAACGACATGCTGACTGCAGTGGGGTTTGAACCTGTGCTCCGTGCTCCCCTGATCCGAACACCAACGCACTAGTCCACTGCGCCACACGCCTCCTTTACTTTTTAATGAATATCCACCTTTTTAATTATATTTAATGTATATGTATTTATTTATTTATCATATATATGAAAGGGGAGATAGTATTGTTTTTGTGTGTGTAAATCGTCAATGTGGTTGGTCGAGGTGCCTTTGTGTATGAAAAGTACTTTGTAAATAAAGTTTGATTTGATTATACAAACAAAGTCAAGTAGATTAAATAAATGTGATAATGATACTGGCATTTTTTAAATTAATGCATGTACATTTAAAAATAAAAACACATTTGGTGTATGTTGACTCCTGGTTTGCTATATGTCTCCATTATGTGCTTGTTCATTTATTTACCTTTTTTATCCTTTTTTAATTTGAAGTATTTCTGTCTAACCCCTTACTGATATAAAATAAATACAATTTAAAAAAACTGGAATCACAGTCTTGTTTATTTCTATCTCTGTTTGAAAGTGGAATAAAGCTAATTTCAAAATAAAAATACACGACTTTTTTGTGGAAAGTAACTACTATTGTCAGTTACTTGCCCTTATGGCGCTGGCCCTTATTATTGATAGCATATAATTTATTTGGAGATAAGTACCTCAAAATGTTCGCAGAGTGACACCTCTCTCACTGTTCACCCAGCCGCCGTCCAAAACCTCGCGAGACATCACGAAGTTTACTGAAATCTCGCGATCTGCTCTCCAAGAAGACGTATAGCATCAGGCTAACCGAAAAAAGGCTTATATTTCCTTTTATCCATCAACTAACAAGATATAAAGCAGAAGCGGGATTTAAGAGAGGTGAGTAGCAGCCGTTGGGCTCCTTTCCTCACATTTGATTGCGGTTGTTTATGAGATATTCATGAAAACTACATTAGCATGCTTTGCTAGGCCAGATGTGATTGTTATGGCCGTTAGCTGCTTTTTGTCTCCTCATTTAAGTGTTTTTTTCTTGCTTGTTCGTATCCACAGTCTTCCCCGGGGCTTCAAGATGTCGGACAGTGAGGACAGCGACTTCTCCGACAACGCGAGTGGCAGCAGCGATGGAGAGGCGGAGGAGGCGGAGGGGATTGAGGTAACCGTGAGCTAACGTTAGGCTAACTGCTAACTGTAAACACAGAGGCAATGTGGCGCGTTAAAGTGGAACTGCTGAAAAATAACTGAATATAAATACTGCTAACTAATGATGGGAGATTAAAGACGTGTGTTTACTTACTTGTTTGTTTGTGGAAGAAGTACTTTATAATCAGAATTTAGTAACTACAGATATGTTGTAGTCTGGGTCGTTTTTATACTTCAGAGACTAAACTACATGTCACCCTGATTTGAATTCACTTTATTCAATAGTTGATTTATTTGACAGGTAAAGTGCAACAGCTTGCTAGGTGTACCAAAGTTAGCAATAGATAGATGTATAGATATGTAGGTAGGTATATAATGTGGAGCGTTAAAGTGCAAACTGCTGAAAAATAACTGAATATAAATACTGATAACTTAAGCTGGGAGATTAAAGACATGTGATTACTTTGTTTGTTTGTGGAAGAAATACTCAGATCTTGTACTTGAGTAAAAGTACTCAGATCTTGTACTTGAGTAAAAGTAGAAGTACTCAGGTCTTGTACTTGAGCAGAAGTAGGAGAGTGTAGTAATACTCTGTTACAAGTACAAAAGTATTAGCATCAAATATACTTAATGTACTAAAAGAATATCATTCAAATTTAATGTTTGTGGGTTATGGAACTACAACTATGGGGAAGTGAGTTCTGTGCCAGCCAGAGGTGAGGAGCTGTGATACAGAGTTATGGCAGGAATGACTTCCTGTGACAGCGGAGGATGTCTATTTTGTAAATTGTGTAATTCTCTTTATCTTTTATACTTTGTATGCATGCTTCTTGGTTACCATTAAGCTGTCTTTGTCTCTTGCTGTTTCAAATGCGAATGTCTCCTCTGTGGGACGATTAACGGTATTCTGATTCTGAGAAACTCTATAAGCTCACTCACAGATGTGCTCCAAGTTGCTTTGGTGCCAACAAAATGAACAGTATTAAAAAGCTAATGCAATACTCACTATACAACAAAATCAACAACAAGATGATTTGACAAGGCTGTCGTATTAACATTCTCTAGAAAGTCCACTGAAACAAATGTTTTGATATTGGGCTATATAAATAAACTCTGATTGATTGACATGAATACACATTGAGCGTTTGTGTAGCTGGTACATGATGGTGTTGATTTAACCCATTATTTAATGCAGCTGTTAACGTATAAACTGAATAAACGGGGTCTTAGATGTACTAACTTATTTTTGCTCTAAGACTCGAGGCTTTTATTGATTTATATATCGAGCCCTTTCAATGCAGGACTTTGACTTGTAACAGTGTGGTATCTGATAGTCTGTTTTTTTCTTGTTTCCCCCCCAGGAGACGAACAGCCCTGTGGGCAGCGACAAGGTAGCAGAGGAGGAGGGGGAAGACCTGCTGGAGGAGGAGGATGAATACGATGAAGAGGAGGAAGAAGACGATGACGAGCGCCCGAGGAAGAAGCCGAGGCACGGAGGCTTTATTCTGGACGAAGCCGGTACGCTGACCTGAGAATTACATATAAATATATTTATTAACGTAACAAGAAATGATAGATTTTAATTTTTTGAGATTTTCTAAAAATAGTTTAAAAAAAAGTTGTGATTTAAGAAAGAAAATCAGAATGATGAGCATTTTTGAAAAACTTAAGATCCACATTTTTTTTCTTCAGAATTTCCAAAAAGTCAGAATTTTGAGATTTTCTAAAATAGTCAACATTTTGGGGAAAAATACAGAACTTTGAGAAAAAAGTTTAAAAAAAAGTAAGATTAAAAAAAAAAAAATCTGAATTCCAAAAATAAAGTCAGAATGTCTTTCATTTGTATTTTTCCCGTTCATGGTGTGCACGACTTAAGATGTCTCTGTAAACACAGCGTTGATCGAAAAGGAGCAGGGGGAATAATCTTATACGACCGGCCCCTTTCTAAAAAAGAACAAAATAAATAGAAATAGATGGTCTGTCCTTCAGATTTCTAATTCACATCCAAACGTAACAGTATCGTAGGATAATAAGAGAAACATCAAGATATTTTATTTTTGTGTGAGAGAACTTTTTACTTACTGAGAAAAGAAGGGGCCCGTGCCTCGCAGCAGGGAGCGCATGAAGCAGTCGTGCAGCGTAGTCACGCATCTTACCAGTTCTTATGCAACTGGCAAATATCTCTCTCTTCTCTCCGTCTCTCTCAATGTTGGTGCGCACATGCGCTTTTTTCAAATGATCCGGTGCTCCTTTTTGGGCACCAGTTATGTGCAGCCCTGTTAATAGATCAGTTTGATCAACACCAGGAGCAGCTGAGAGTGGGATGATAATGCTGAAACGTACCCAATGATGACCTGAAGCAGCAGGGGAAGTATTCCACTCTGTTGGGGCTTTAAACATCAACACTCTTCTGACAATAGAGTTTTTTGCCGGGGGGACGGAGAAATAAATGTGGACAGCGTGTCTAACTTGGTAATTTGACGAGTAAGCTGCAAAATACTGCTTTAAAGTAAATGCATTTAAAGGCCATTTCAGTGTGTTATACATTGTGCAGTGATGTGTACGAAAATAATATGTTTGCTGTTTCTGAGTCCCTGAAACTCTCCCTGCTGCTCTTAAAGCAGCGTTTCTCAAAGTGTGGGGCGCTCCCCACTGGTGGGGCGCAGAGATGTGATAGGTGGGTCGTGAAATACAAAATAAAAAAATAAAATATATATATATTTTTTTTTTTTCTCACACTGGTGGAATATCAAAACAACGGCCCGGGGTGCAAAACACATAAATGAAAGCGACCCTCTACCACACAAAACAACACCTGTAAATAACCCTATTTGTGTTCTTTGAAATTGCATTGTGTTTGTTACTTTCGTTGCAGTTGTATGTCTTAAGTGTAATTTGGCATGCTTTTATTTTGAGGCGAGTTTACGCTGTTGACAGTTGTTGTTGCTATGGAAACAAGAAACGTTTCACAGCGGGCGGAACTTGTCATGAAGTCCGCGATAATAAAGCCCACCCATTTAGAGGGAAGATATGATTGGTCAATTGTACTGTCGTTTGACATTACTCTCTCGTTCAGTTACTACAGCTGGCCCTCTGTGAATTCATAGTTGGACGTCCAACAGCTCCTGTCTTCACCTGCAGAGACGAGCTTCTTTCATTTAACCCTTCACATTCAAACAGAGACTGAATAGGCTGATTCAAAGGATTTATTTCTTTGGAAATGTTATTTTAAATACAATTTAATCAAGTTATTTTTAGGTAAGAAACCTATGACAAATATTACTAAAAACATATTTAAAAAAATAATATATAAAGAAAAATA